ATCAAGGAAGTATAAACGCATATATATATATATATATATATATATATATATATATATATATATATATATATAAACTTTGAACAAAATTATTTGATTTGGGAAAATCTGAAAAACCAAGTGGAATAAGGTTTTGCAAACATATATAATTGGTTGAAACATCTCCTTACTGTAAATATTTGAAAAATTAAAATATATACCATTCCCAACTGACAAACAGTCACTTTCATCAAACAAACCATTTTCACAATTTGAACTTTCAATCACCTTATCATGCAGATTAAGTTAATGTAAAAATATTATCACAGATTATGAAATATAGCTAATTGTATTTCCGACTTCCTTATTGCTTCATTTATATTCATATTATGAACATATATAGTATTAATTAATAATACTTAGGGTAATAAGAATTTTTCAAATGCTGACCACAGCCTGCCGTCTTTATGAATCATATTTTCATAAGAGATTTTTTTATTAAAAAATATGTGTATTATAATTACTCACTTCAATATAGCAATGGCTTCTGTTATGTTTCTTGCTTCCTCTCCATCAATTCTTAGTCTGTTGACGTTTTCAACGAGAGGAGCATCAAGAGGTGTTTCAATCTTAGATTTAATCTCTTTCTGTACAGGAGTAGCTTTTATTTGACCAATTTGAGCGCGAGTTATTTTTGGCGGTGGTGCATGTGCTTTTTCACCTTTGATGGACTGCATTTCTTTTTCTAATAATGCTTTAGCTTCAGCCTTTTTCTCCAGTTGTTGTTGTTTTTTTTTCTCCATTTCTTCCTAGAATAGAACAATTTGCAAAGAGAAAAAATCACTCCTGAACTATTATGACTAACATTAGTTGAATATCCACTACATAGTATTTTTAGGCACACATAATGTAAATTGACAAAGAGCCTCTCCATCAACTATCTCCACACCGAAATCTCTGCAGCAAAATGGTAAAGTATACTGAAGTGCAATAAGAAGTGCATTAAATGTGACCCTTGATTCTCAGACATACTAAAATAGAAATGGGCATTTTCAAGGATTCCATACATAATTTATCGTACTATATATTATTAATATCCATAATATTATATATAATAATATACTGTTCTCGCTATTATAGTACATTCTGTTCAAAAGACATCCACATCATTTCGGTATACCATAATTGCCAACATAAGACATGCTGAGATAAGTAAACATTAGTATTATATATGGTACAGCTAATATATTGTGAATTAATGGAAAAAAGCTGGATAACAATACCTTTCTTTGTTGCTTCTTCAAAATTTGTTTATCATCATCCTTCCAAGCTGCATCCTCAGCAGCCTGTTGCTTTTTAGCTAGTTCTGCATCTTTCGTGTTTTTCTTTCGCTCCCTTGCAGCAACTGCTTTAGGATTCTCGTTGGCGAATTTTTTGGGCATCTTGTTGTATTTTCTGTACTTACTTTACTCAGAAAATATACGAATTCAAAGGACAGAAAAACTGAATTTCGAGATAAACGTCAAAACAACAGAATAGCGTCTAACCTTATACCTTTGTTGTCCCAGGACCTTACGTTTTCAAATGTGTGGTTTTAGTCACAGAATATATTCTTCTTTGATTTTTTAACCAAGTGCTCGGTTTCGTTACCATCTACACAATAAACTTTCTAACCCAGCAGGTTCAAGATAACTACGGATCTTGAATCAATTTTCAATATCGGGTGGAATTGTTGGGATGTTTAAATATTAATTTTAGTATTTTGTTTGTCATAAGATTAGACTTCATTTGGGAGGATTTAAATACTAGTATTTAAAATCCAAATACAAACTACGTCTTTTATATTTTGTACTCATATACCTTTTTTGGAACAGTATTTTGTATTTTATTTGAAATACTTTTCGAGATGTATTTTATTTTTATAATATACCTACAGAACACTTTTTCACTGCTAAGTATCGATTTTAGAAAGATTCCGCGCTTTGGCGAATGCCTACTGAAGGCGCTGTAACTTTGAAAGTCTATGTGCAAAATGACATAAACAAAACGAATATCGGTGAAACATAAAGCTATGCTGTATGCGATTTTTAAGCTTTAACGACTTTGATTTTGCTTCGATAACGTTTTCTGTTTTACGCCATTATTAATGTTTGGTATTAATGTTTGTCTTCGAAAGCTAGTGAAATTTACTTGGAAAGCACAGGTAAATTCCCAACTAGCTGAAATTCTTATTACGATTGCATAATTAATATCTTGATATTCCAAGAAACCATCAATGAAGCTGTGAGAAAGCTAGGAGTGGCTGTCTTAAAGGAGATAGAAGTACAGTGTTTGATTGCATATATGTATTAGTACTTCTAACCCAGTCTCCACACAGAAGCAACATGCCTGGTGTTTTTTTTTAAGTATTTTGTAAATACGTATTTTGCATTTAGTAATTAAATAAAAAAGTAAAAGTATATACTGTTTTGAAAGTATTTTGTACATCTTTATCTATTGATCTAATATTCCACTGTATATTGTTAAGCATGTTGAAATAGAATCAGACTGATATATGAAATATTTGGATAGAGGAACTGTGAAATTAGATCGGATTATGATTGATTTAATTTCATAACCTGTTCTTCAGACGTTCGGTGATTGACTGATTTACAGATGTCAAGGAGTTGGGAAACGAATTACAAATAAATTATAAAATAGCCAGGTCACGTCACGTCACTTCTAGTCAAGGACACGTCACATCACACCAGGCACATCACGTTATGTTACTCTACGATACGATACGTCACGTCAAGTCACTACTTATTCAAAACCGCGAAAATATGTTATCCGAATAACTCGAAGACAATTATGCCTTACAGAACATACTCATATTAGATCAGACTGAACGAACAATCGGAAGAACGAATGAACGAACGATTGATCGAACAATTGAACGCCTGAATAGAATTCCTTCGTTTGATTGTTCGATCAATGGATCGCCCGTTCTTTCGATCAATGAATCGTTCATTCGTTCGTTTGATTGTTTGTTTAGTCCTTTTCTCGATAGTTCGCTCGATGTTTAAAGATTATTCCAAGTTCAACCAGGTATTTTTGTACTGGGTACAACAAAACCCAGAAAAATAAAACTCTAGTAACTTCTCAGATTAATGTCGATAATAATAACACGCCTGTCACTGACACTAGCAATAACTCCAAAAAACAAAACTTTATTTCTACTCAAGAATCTGTTACTACCATTAACAAACACTTCCTCCAAAGCTGGAACAAATTCAAAATACGCTTTATATGATGCGGGTCCATATATAGTTATTTTAGTGTCAAAATCTGATACAATAGGTAACATACATTATATGGGTTAAGAGAAGAGGTTGTATTCTTTTCGTTGTTCTTTTCTTATTCGTTCTGAATCCAAAGATTTACACGCATTAGAAATGTTATTTTATCAAATTTTATTATGAATCCTTTACACAAATTGGAAAAAAAGAGAAATCACAGAAATATATTGAGTTGCAATCACCAAATGCACCTAAACAATTTCTTAGAAATAATCTTTTTATCAACGGAAAAAGATAGATGTATATATACCATCAGGACTACTAACTAGTAGGGGAGTTATCAATAACGTAGGTCCTTCTATAACTCGGGAAATGGGGAAGAACATTGGAATGAGGTTACGTATCAACCATCAAAATCATGGTACTTACTTTTGAAGGAAGAAAATTTCCGAAAATGATAGGTACTTGGGGATGTGCCAGAAAGGTCTCATTATTTGGCCCTGTAATACAGTATTATCGCTGTTTGCGTTAAGGGAATACTAAGTCAAACTGTAATAACACTAAAACGTGTCGTAATTGTGCTGAAAATATCGATGAGGACAACTATGAAACTAAATTAGCACTAAAATGTGTGTTCTGCTTAGCAGCACATGCACCTACGGATCGCAGTTGTCCAGAATATTAGCAATACATAAAAATTGACAATATTATCGTCCTAGAAAATCCTTCTTATCCTACTTTGAAACAGTCTAACTCGTACCAAATGCAGACTCTTCAAGATTATCTCCTACTTCTCAAGTGTTTGGGGGCCCATCTCTTACCCCACAAATGTATCCTCCTATATCTACCCAGAGAAGCCTCCTCCTCGAGAAGCATCGTAACGCTGCACAACAGGAGAATGCTACGAAGAATACCTCTGTAACATCTATACCTTCCTTTGCTTTAGTGACAAAAAAAGGAAACTTGTTCCCATGCCGTCTACAAGCTCTTTTAATCCTGTCTCCATTCTAATGAAAAATAATAAATCTGAAAATTACTTCAAAGAAACGTCATAAATTTCTTAAGGCAGGTCACGCCACTCCACTTCACGGTACGAATCGGCACGTCACGTCAAGGTAGTGGTAGACGTAGTGGTAGTGGAGGTGAAAAATGTAGTAGTAGTGGTTGTGGTAGTGGAAGTGTTAGTAGAAGTGGCAGAGCTTGTGATAGTGGAAGTTACAAATGGTAGTTGTAATGATGGAAGTAGTGGTAGTATTTGTGGTAGTGGTAGTGATAGTAATCATAGTAACTAGTAGTACATGTCGTCGTAGTAGTAGTAGTACCTCGAAAACTTGACCACTATCAGATCTGATCAAATAAGTTCAGATTGGGTAAGGTTAGATCGGGTCAGATTAGGTCCGGTCAGGTCACGTCACTTCATGCAATGCATTGTCCCACGTCATGTTGCATCACGCCACACAACGCATCATCACCTTCCTCTACCACACGTCACTCCCTGTCACGTCGCATTACGCATCGTTACGTCACGTCACGTCAGAAGACGCTTAGCCACTTCACGTCATATCAGATCAGAAAATTGAAAATATGAATTTTGTTTGCAATAGAATTTTATGAAACTGACCTGAATGTGTTGACATAAATTACCTGATGAACTTACGAATAATACATTTTGCGCCTATGATTACTGATTCCATTCCATTCAATTATAATCTGAACGTAATGAAATTTATATCTTATTTTATAGTCGCCTACGTGGCATAGTCGTTAAGACGACCGATTATGGTACGGTAGGATTCGGGTTCGAGTCCCGGTGAAGTCATGGGTGTTTGTGTTTATCTATGCATTTGTGAGGATGAAAAATGATTGATTGATTCCGAACTGGCCGTTCGGAGCCGGCGTTAAAAAAATGCTGTTTGTATATACTCTACACCAATTCTAACTCCACGATTACGATTATCAACGTGAAGAAAGAGAAGCTGACAAAGTGTTGTATCTGCAGTTTCTTCTTCGCACAAGCTACTACTCATTCTTCTCTTAGTAGAATTGAGACAATATCTGATTATCTCAAATTATCTGAATCTGAATTAATCTGAATATCTGACAATATATTAGATTAGATCAGATTAGATTAGATGATAGTATCATTTGTATCTTTCATTGGATCACTTGTTCGTTGAAGCATCACTCGTATTCTCAAGTCATGAATTCTGCAGCCCTTGTTTGAAAGTAATTGATTGCAAAGTTGACTATGAGCCAATACTGTAGCAGTGTTTTCCACTGGCAAAAGAGCAAAACAAACTTGCCTATTCGTACTGTTTCTTCATTGTTTCGATTTCAACAGTCTATAGAGGAAGTTTGAAAAAGTGGATATTTCAAAAATTACCATTCAAAGATGAATTTCATATATATTTTCCATTTTGAAAGCCAGTTCGAATGAAAATATTCAAATTTAGAGGATTAGATTAGATAAGATTAGATTATATCAGACACGAGACAAGAACGATTAGATAAGATCAGATCAGGTTAGGTTAGGTTAGGTTTGGTTTGGTTTTGATTAGGTTTTAATACATTTGATTAGAATAGGTTAGATAAGGTAAACTTGGGTTAGATAAGATTAGGTTAGGTAAGGTAAATTTTTCTTGTTGGATATAATTCAAATTCTCAAGAAATTTTGACATATCATGTTTAAAACAGGTTCTAAAATGTTTTTGCTTTTTCTGAAAAACTTGAAGTTGAAGCTACCTCGACTTAGAATTTGCACTTCATTGACACTTGTAGCCAAAAACTTCTCTAAACTTAGCACGACCAAGGCACTTAAATGCATTAGGTAGATGGCTAAATAGTTTGATGCATTGTTATGCTCGTGAATGTTCAAACATGGCCACGCCATATCCAGGGATAAACAAAGGTTCAACATTTCTTGTGTTATGACCATAAAAACTAGTTAATTTCACGAACCTGCTTTCATTTTCGTCAACACAGTTTTAACACTAATATTATATTCACACTAAATGCACCCCTGTAGAATTCGCTAGATCTGAATTTAAAAATGGTCCTGATTATTCGTTTTTGAGATATGAAGAATTTATGACTCTCTACAGAACTACCCCATAACATGTTATTACAATTCATATAGCTATATGCATGAGAGTAGTACCTACACTTCCATAACAGACGCAGTAGACAGACAATTTTTTATTCTATTTATCGCATAGAATGCAGAGCTCAGTTTTTTGGTGACGAAGTTACCATCTAAGGACTATCTGAGGTCTCGATCTAAAAGAGTTCCCAGAACTCTATTAGTTCAATATTCTTCTCGAACTGGATGAAAACTGCATCATTTACAAAATATGATGCATTGAAGCAATTAATTTTACTGGTATTCAATATTAGGGCATTTGATTGACACCACTATTTGAATTCTCTCAATAACAATGGAAATTTATCCTAGAGTCCGCCAGGATATCGAGCTGTAATAGCTATCGAGATGTCATCAACAAAGAGAGTCATTCAATTCGCTTCTACATAATCAGGCAAATCATTCATGAATAAAAGTATCAAGAGTGGGCCGATCACGGAACCCTGTGGGACTCCCAATTAGTATCTTAATCGTTAGACCAATGATTTCGAATTCTAACCCTTAAACCTGTACCAATAATTGGTTTATTACCAATAAACCAATTTTTTAGAAACAAGGTAGGTGTGCCCACAATAGATCAGGGCACGGTAGATTTATTTACGTTCAAAAGCACGCCCGAGCAGGACAGTTCAAATTGACTCCAATAGATGCTGTGGATGTCCATAAAAAAATAAGTTCTATTCACTCTAACGCATCTGGAATGGATGGCATAAGTCTCAAAATGATCAGACCTACAATACCGTTCTGTATTGACGTTTTATGTCATTTATATAATTATTCTCTGTTCAACGGAGTGTACCCTAAACAGTGGAATATAGCATTCATTACGCCGTTGCCAAAAAGCAACAGTCCTTAAGCCCATTAGCTGTTTGTCCATCATTACGAGAATATTTGAGAAACTGGTAGCGGGTCAGCTTGTTAAATATTTGGAACAAAGTAAGATTCTTCCATCTATACAGTCGGGTTTTAGGACTTCTCATTCCACTTTTATGGCTCTTCTAAAGGTCATTTCTGACATTGACTGTGCAATGGATAGAGGGCAAGTTATTGTTCTCGTGTTATTGGACCAGAGCCAGGCTTTTGATCTAGTACATAATGAACTGATTGTTTCGAAGCTAAAATATATTGGCTTGGAGGATGCTGAATTCGATTGGTTTAGAAACTATATATCTGAACGTGAGCAGTGTGTAAGGGTGGGAAATGTGACGTCTGGTATTGTCCAAACAAGGTCTGGGGTGCCTCAGGGGAGTGTTTTGGGACCTTTACTGTTTTCAGTGTATACATCTGATCTGCCATCTCTGGAGATATTTTCCAGAGCAACAGTGCATATATATGCGAACGATGCGTTGGCGGATTCTATCACTGATATTAATCTCGATCTGCAGAAGCTGCAGAGGTAGTGCACAAAAAGCGGTCTTAAGTTAAACGCCAACAAGACTAAGGTTCTTCTTATTGGAAGCAAATATCATATTGAGAGAATAGATTTTCATAATATGTGCGTTAGTATGAATGGGGAAGATCTGCAATGGGAGAGGACGGCAAGAGATCTTGGCTTGTGGTTGGATGATGAAATTTCTTTTGGGTCATCTACTTTCTGTGAAACGAGCTTCTGTGATTAAGCTGAAGGGACTGAATATATCCCATTATTGATTATTGTCTTCCTCTATATTACTATCACCTTACGCAAACTAATAAGGATTATTTGAAGAGAATTCATAATATGTGCATTCGTTTTGTATGCAATGCTTCTTTCAGACATCACATAACACCATACAGAGAGAGGCTGGGTTAAATGAGTGTATCACAGAGGGCGGAGTACTTGTACATAACATTTCTCTATAAACTATTTCTTGATAAATGTCCAGAATATCATTTCGATCGAATAGGAAAAAGGCAGTGCGTGCATGATGTGAATACGAGGTTCAGGAGCCACTATGATACTCCCAGGCACCACACATCAAAGTTTGACGGCTGTTTTGATTATTGTGCTCCAGAAATGATGAAAAAGTTCTTTGACTTATTGAATGCCGGTTTCAACGTTAACACGTTCAAACGAAAAGTGAGAAACATTATTTTGCAGAACCTGGATTAGTTGAGGTTTCTTTCACGAAGTTTTCTGTTTTGTTTTCTTTATTGCGGTTATTATTCTTAAAAAATATTTTTTGAGAACCAATGATTATTGTAATTTTCTTGTAATTATTTCATTTATATTTAATATTATGTTCTGATTGTTTTGTTTGCAATGTTGGTTAGCAGGTTACAGTTGTTTTCTTCAAATTATAACAGGTGGAGTGGAAGAATGCAAAGCAAACTCCTACTTTTTTGCATATAAATGTTTATGCAAATAAATATTATTATTATTATGTGACTATCAGAAATGTAGCTCTTTTATCCAATCGAGAAAGAAACTCCTGAGTTCCAGATTATACAACTTATTAAAATATAAGAAATTCTCAACTGACCCTATATATTATTGTCACAGAGTATGAGATAGTTGGTGACATAAAACAGATGAGACGAAAACATAATATTTAACAATCATCTGTACAAAATTCAATAAATTACAACCTTTTCTGAGATATTCGTAACTATTTCAATTCGTCCCATATAAGGCTTATATCTCTTCGATTATTCGCTTTCGGGAAGAATTGGATATGAATGGTATTTTGAAAGGAAATATTCTCATGACATTGAATTTGAAATAATTCGACTTAGATTCAATTTTGGATAGAACCTTGAATGTGAAGAGCTGAGCGGTCGCAAAATCGAACAAAAAGAACGAACAAAAAGTTTGGTTGACCACACAAAATTGAACTTTTGAAGTTTAAACTTGTTATGGAAATGTTATGCCATATATCAGAAGTCACCGACTGTCATTTACAAATAGTGCGAGATCAATGATTGACGCTGTAACTTAGCGGTTGTAGGCCGTAGCTAAAGAAGCATGTGGTATCAGGCACACGCGGCAAGCGCAGTCTGGAGCTCTGGCAAACGTCTCTTCGCTTTGCCAGTTTCCAGTTTCATGTTTGCGTACAGTTGCAGTTTAACCCTGTCTGTCGCGGCTGCTGCTGCGTCACTTCGCGCCGCCGACTGAACACAGCGTGCGATTTCATTCATTATGATGCGTATATCTGAGCGGTTATTTTGACGTGCTTCTTCGAACATTGTTAATTCTGACTATTTCCCTGAAGTTGTCCAATTGTTTCTGAGTTATGAGACGAAAAGAGGATAGCCGATATGTCGCCGTGGTGGTCATCTACATCGTCACTATCATAAGTCAAGGTAAAACAACAATTTTCGATGCTACCCTGTAAACAATTGAATAGAACGGGGTATTGAACGCGGTAGCCTGAACAGATTATTGTCCGCGTCATATTATTAATATATCCATTCAATTTAACAATTTTCGGATCACATGGTTATGTTGGTTTTAGTTGAGATGTAATCTACTTTGAAATCGTCGAACGAGTTACTTTATTGCTTTCCACCTTTCTGTTAACTTTTGCAACTTGGGTGCAATTAGAAAGTTGAGTCAATTGCCGCGACTTATTTGCAGCTCCCATTGAGCGGTTGTTCTTGACTGCGGCGAAGTTTGCTTCCCACCGGTATGTAACATACCTTCACCAACAATGTAAATTAATGAATAGTTCGATTCAACTTGGAATTTGTTCGGTATAAAT